AGCCCCTCATTCTCCGAATTTTTTCTCAAACTCACGCCAGTTTTTTTGTGCTCAGTGGCTACTCTAGATGAGCAGTTTTTGTCGGAAGAAAATTTATCACCTTCTCTCGACCCAGAATAAATAGTCCCCGATAATTTAGTATCTATTTTATTCAGTAAACTGACTTTTTATTGACATGATTCTTCGATTATTCGGCTCAACAGTCTCGAGTGATAATTAGTGAGATGAGAGTTTTGTCGAGAGAGTGTTCAAATTTTCTTTACAATTTTAATCTTCTTTGTTTAGGTACTTTTATCGTTTCATGACGGATTTAACACAATTTTTTTTCAATGAATTCTACACAAGAAAAACTAGTTAGTGATTCGTTATTGCTAATTATCTTATAACATTGCAATTCATCTTACTAAGGTACATTCTCTAATTGCCCACGATAAGCTACGGTTAATCGGTGATTTGCCAATGACAGAACACTATATTTATCACCGATTGTTTTATTTTTCTGGGGTGCAGTGATGAAACGCAACGGAACCGAAGAATTTTCCAATTTTTTTTTCATTTTTTCGAATTGAAGAAATGAAATTAAATTCACGTTTAGGGAAATATCAAGATAATGAGTGATTTAAAAATACTAATGTCTTGAATTTTTCAATTTGTGAAATTCTATCGGAAATAATTTATATTTTTTATTTCTTTTTTTTTTAATATTCACTGAAATAGTCGAGTAATGGACCTCTCATCACTCCACCCCAGCTTTAACTCTCAATAACTCATCTCAACTGCATTGCTAAAACAATTTTCAAGGTACTTTTGGCCAATGCTATGCAATCAATCATGACTTAATATAACGGTCTCCAGAAAATTTGCGCAAACTACTTTCCCATACATTACTATTTTGTTCTCCAAGAAAATTTGTGACGAATAAATCGATGTAGGCGAACACTGTAGCTAGATACATGCCCGCATGTAAAAGATAATGCCGATTGCAGAGAATCCCAGTAAATAAAATCGTGTGCCATGTACTAGTGATAACAGTTACTCGTTTCAATTTCATTCATCAGATCGGAAAAAAACAGATTTTTTGAGAATTAAATTAGCGTCATCACTGGATCTACTCAGATTAATATTCAAAACGTAAATTTCCACTTGCAAATTATAATATAAGTGCTATATTCGTACATTAAAATAGAGACTACAATTGTCTATTGATTCTTCATTCACTCGATATTTTAGAATATCTTTTTTTTACAAGAATTTTAAAATGAATGCTGACGCAATTGATAATCGAGGTTTATTGAACATTTTTTTGAGTAAAACTTAACTAAGGGATTCACTCCATAAATTTGTGAATAAAATTAATGCATCATTCACTCGAAATTAAGAGGATAAAACTAAGTCGATTGATTAATTCTCTCGCAGCCCTAACGAAATTTCTTCATTTATCATCAAATCACATTTTTTCTAATGAACACTTTGGATTTTAATTCGCATGACTCAATTTTAATTTAAGCTGCATGTGCAAATCCATCATTTGCCACAAGAAATGTCAATGCGACGTGATTAAAGGAACACGAATAATCTTCCTTACGAGAGAGTGTAAATACTAAATTAGAAGTGAGTATTTTTTTTAACCGTCTTTCTTTGTTCTATGAGAATTTTTTCGTAAAAACTGTCTCGTATTTTTAAAAAATCAAAGGACCAAGCAGCACTAGGTGGAGGGGGATTAAATATCGCAATTCGCAGTCTCCGAAATGAAAATTTAAACAGAATAATTATTATTAAAACTTAATCAATGTCATTCCCAATTTGAGAATTTATGTTATTTTTTTCGTTTTTACTTTCAAATTCATTTGAAAAATTCGAAGTTGTCAAGGTTCTATTCGATAAATATTATCGTTAATTTGTTTTTTTTTCTGCGTTCCTGTAGACAGGATTCAAGAGCGTTTCTGAGAATGAAAAAATCCTCGTGAGTATTTTACGTATCTTCATTTTTTCGAAATTGAAAAAAATTCGATTAAGAAGTATTCAGGTAATTTCGAAAAAAAGATCAACTATCCGACATTAAACGCCGAAATTCAATAAATAATAATTAAAAAGTCAAAAATTGTGATGTAAAAGGCATTGATTTTCACACCCGAAAAATCAAAAAATATAATAAAAAATATTTAAATAAATATGATATTTCTGGGGACAGAACAGAAAAGAGGAAATAATTAATTAAAAAAATCTACCTGTAATGTAGACAGTCTTGATTTCAAAAGAAAATTGCAGAAAAATAATAAATAGACAGAATGGAGACTGCGTTCAACGTCGACGAAAATTATAAAAATTCGAAAGCTGAGAGAGAGAAAAAAGCATTCAATCAGAAAGAAGAAGCTCTCTCATAAATTAACACGTGAATATTTCAATACCTTTCGATTTACACTTACGTAAATTATTGAGATAATATTAAATATGATGGTAATACTCTGGTGGCTCGACAGTTCTTCATCATCCGTCGTAAGTCAATATTTCCCAACGAAATAAATAAATATGTCGATATTATTATCGACTATTGCTGTTGTGATTCAGTGGTGAAGTGGAACGCATCAGAAAATTTTAATTTTTAAATTTTAATGTCAAAGTTTTGATTTTTATTTGACATTTTGCAATGATTTTATTATTTAAACCTTGCAGGTCTGAATTTGAGTCTGATATTGAACCGTTGGAAAACATTTTAAAAATCTGAAAGAATGCCAAAAAAATACATTTCCGAAAATTTAAACAATTTCAATTATTTATACAGCGAATATTTAAAAATAATAATTCTGTGCAAAATGTAATTTTAATGACGCTGAATATTCATGATTTTTTTTGATACCCATAAAAAATATTCTTATAAAATTTAGCCTCTGAGACATTCACTCATCCCATTCCACCCACTTCACAACTGAATTTTTCTCCCACGAAAAATAAATGTTGAAGAACCATCAGTTATCCATCACGCAAATTTATCATTCAATTAAGCTAGATTTTTAAATTTGGCTTTACAATCGCAAATGAACACCCAATGGCCAATTAGTTTAAAAATACATAATCCGCTGAGGTTTTCCCTTTTCCCTTGAAGAATTGAAATTCTCAAAATCGACAGATGAGTCTTCGCTCACGAAAATATCAACGAAAAAGAAAGACTTTTTGCGTTTTTCCCATTTTTTTTGTTTCTTTTTAATTTTTTTCCTATTCTCGTAGACATTGTAGGGTTCTCAAGCTAATGAAAGTCCATAGTCGCATTAACTGGTTCACTAAAGAGAAATAATCGAGCCTAATCAAAACGTTTTCAATCCAGAGTTTAAGCTCAGGATCTTTAACCCTTGAATTTGGCATTTCAACAAATTCAAAATATTGCGCATCTCGTGTGCAATAGAGAAACAACAAAATCGAACGAAAATCCCCTTAAATGGTTCACCCACTTTTCTTCCCCGACATTTCCCCCTCCCCCTCCTTCCAAATTTTTTTCATACCATTTCATTCTCAAAAACGCATTCCAGGAATAATTTTTTTCCCTTCCATTTCCTTCCGTAGAATTTTTTTTTCTTTATGAATCAAATTAGCGAAAAAAAATTAGTGCTAGCATGAGGTTTCAAGGAAGAAATGGTGCGAAGAAATTTTTTTTTGGGGGGAGGGGGGGATGTCGTGGGAGAAAAGACCACCCCTTAAACTAGTGAATACTAACAAGATTTTTCATCTAATATAATTGCGAGATCTGAGTAAATTATCACTAAAAAAATTAATGCGACCCTTGGAATAGACAAAAAGAAAGTGGACTCCTAATTACCTAGAAGAGCTGGGTGTGGTCGTGAGCCTTGCTCAAGCAAAGAGAATTATATCCGATAAACTACCAAAAAGGCGACAGAAAAAAAATCGTAAAGTCGTCCCAAAAAATTCCAAATATCGAACGAAAAACTAAATTTGAAGATTTAAAGGGAGTCTGGGGCTTTTGTTTGCAATTAGAATATCTCGGTAACGGTTGAGAAATGAGTGAAACACTTGGCATACCAAATGTAGGATTTTTTATAGCAAAGAATTTGGTTTTTAACTCGTGTCTCTACGACTTGAAATTCTCAAGATATTGACATTCGTTCAAGTACCCGACAACGTTAAGTTTTCATTTTTCTATAGAAACTTTCTCTGTTCATACGTTTTCTATAAGAATTCCTCGACATGAATTTTCCAAATTTTTCCACTTAATTTTTCTTCTTTTTCATTAAATTAAAAAATCAAACAAAAAAATTTAGAAAATTTGAGCCCAGGAACTTCAATAAAAAATATCTGAATAGAATATTTTGCACTGAAAATTTCCATTGTGAAAAAACGCGGCCAAAAACCAAATAATTATCCACTTTCTTCATTTTTCTTATACACGGCATCGAGGAGGTACAAACGCCTAGTGGTGGCATTTGTGCCTCCCTATTCCCCACGGGCTAGCCCTCTAGCGATCATTCTGGCGATTGCCAAGAAATCTCACTTTATTCGGAAATAAAACTACTCATTCCCTCTCATTTTTCCGAGCACTTGTGTCGGCATAAGCCGAGGAGTGAGAGCCAGTAAAAATCTGCCCGTCTTGCACCTGGTACAGTGGCTACTCCCCAACATTTCAGCCTCCACTCAGAATTCAAGAAATTAAATATTCGGAAATCCCTCTCTCATCCGCTGGAGGCGGAGCTAGGAGACATAAACAGAGACACAATCTACCTGTTTCACTCCCACACGCCGCGAGTAGTTGTACTGCGCAGTCCCGTCGCGCAGAGGGACCCACAGATTTCCCCACCACATTTACGTTGTCGATGGTGGGGGAAGTCAACTTCCCCGCCTGAAATGTTAGGGAGTAGCTACTGTACCCCTAGCCCTTTCGCTGAGCAACTACCGAGGGTCCCGTGCAACGTATTCCCACCAGTTACCGAGACATCC